CTTGCGTGTGCTGTAAAATTTGAATAGTTATGTGGCTCCTTCGTTAGGCATTACATTGACGCGAGACTTGATCGGATGAATTCTGTTATGCATGTTTACCATACTACAGATCAAAAAGAGTATCAAAAAGAAACCTGTAGGCAAAACCAACAAACAGGGGCTAGAAACCGGCTACTAATTGACCTGATCTACACCATGGTCAACAGAGCTTAACCCACCTAATACAAAGTTCAACAAAAGTAAACACAAACATGCAAATCAGACTTCACAAATCAAAATCTCTGTACATTTGAACGTGTCTGACATAAAATACAAGGGAAGATACATAAGGAAGAGTAACAACATAAGGAAAGAGTAACAACATGTACTCCATCTGTACTCCCAACATAAGGAAGATACATCAAATGCAACGTGAGATACATCAAAAGGAACTTTATTTACTCCTCTACTCATCGTCGGTAGCACTGTCCTCGTCCTCATCCTCGTCGTTGGTATCAACGTCGTCGTTGTCCTCCTCTATAGCCATGAGGCCCTTTTGCTAATCAACGGTGATGCGGTTGGACAATGGTCCAATCGTCTCTATCTCCAAAGGGATCCACCGGAGCTTCATCTTGATTCACCACGGGCATGGCGTCATCCTCCTTCACCATGGGCACGGCGTCATCCCCCTCCCATGCATGCTTCGCAGAAGGCTCACCCTTCACCATGGCAGTGGCTAAGAGTGAAGTAGGTTTGGAGAAGGCAACCGTGCGTTCCTGGCAATTTTTAGATCTGCAGTGGGAATGGGAGGGCTCAGGGAAGGAAGGAAAACAAGTGGAGTTACGGAAGAGATCGATGCGGTTAATATATCACTACTATAGAGGAGCCATTGGTGTTTTTTTTGGGGAACAAAGAGGAGCCATTGGTGTTGAAATGTTACTGCACACGCAAGAAAGTCCAACCTCTATACATTTGAATGTGTCTGACACACTGCACAGACATTAGCTTACATTACAAATAAGTTAAAGTTGTTGCAAAATAATGACAACATCCATGCAAGAGGAAATTAACATGTCCATAGTCAATCAAACAACATTGATCCATTTAAACATGTCATGACAGAGAGATACATCAAATGCAGCTTTATTTACTACTTTGCTAATGACTCCAACTCCAAGAACAAGGGAACATAGGGAAGATAGTAAGGTCTACCGATGATTTTTGGCAGGATGTCACGTCTACCATACGGAATGTAATGTGTAGGGATGACATGAACTTTTATGTTGTCCATGTTATATGTGATGATGGCTCTTTCCACCCCAACCCCAACAAAGAAAACCAAATTCTATTCTAGGTGAACTATAACCGTTGTGTAGCATGATTCAAAATCAAAGTAACCCATTTGTTTCTTAGTCTTTCCAAACAACTTACGCAGGCTGATAGTATGCTTCAATGTCCATTTATTATTAGTACCATAGTCTTCAAGGATCCAGATCGAAAGCTTGGACATATTGCGACCACCAATAGTACATTGACACAAGTGACCCTAAGTTTGATGGATGGAGTGTGAAAAACCATGCAGCCAGTTAGGAATTTTCCTCCATGCCTTTCCATCCATATCCACAGCAAGTATAAGACGGTAACCCTCGTAGAACCCAATATAGTGCAGACAACCATTAAGAAACATAGTTGCTGATTTTGATAATGTTCACTCAGCCTCCTCACCCCATTTAGATTCCTTAAAGATCTATGCTGCAGTTTTAGATGAGTAGATGTCCACACCCACGCACTGACCATCCTCCTCCATATATTCAAACACATGGAAGTGCGAGGAGGCTATCGAATCGAACCCCAATGGAGCCTCACCAACAGAATGGATTCTAGGCGACAGTACCTTCAACTCCTGGGTTGCCATATTGCAGACGACATAGCGGTATCTATTAGTCCTAAGGCACCAGCATAGGATGAGACCGTTGCAGCAATCTGAGACAGCTACATTGTTCATGGTGAAGGGCAAGAAGGACAAGGAGGGGTAAACACCAGTGATGCTGGTGAAGTCTCTTTGGCCGTAGATTCCATCGTAGAAGAAGCCAGCCACGGTCTGGGGCATCAACTTATGGTTGTCCGAGATGAGGTGTCTCCAGGAGCGACAGACACATTTGCAATAGAACAAGGAGCGAGCGGAGAGGCGGTGGAGGATCTCAATAAAGACGTCATCTATGAGGCTGGCCAGTGCATTCCTCTTGTTGGGGGCCTCCTCCATTTTGTCATGTGCATGCAATAGAATGAGAGCGTGCTCAGTAATAAGATCACTGAGGAGGAAAATAATCCAACAAAGATCCATCAGTGAAGTCCACAACTCATACCAAAGTGTAACTTTAACAACCATTAACAATATTCATGGTACGACCTCATCTAAATTTAGAGTAGCACAACATAGATATATATAACTCAAACTAGAGTAGCAGTTAATGGAGCTGTAACCATTACAATTCTAGCTAAATCAAGTCTAACCATCACACTTACAATCAGTACACGAGCTCAGAGCTTCTTCCATAGGATACAGACAAAGATTAAGAGGACTACAATTACAATAGTTTTGAAGGACGAAGAGGGTGGAGCAGCTGTTGGGTTTTAAAGATAGAAGTCATCATTATCAGTTAAGGCTAGATTTGAGTTGGTTCTTGACTTAAAGGCAACAATTCCTTCTTCATAGGAGTTGTACTTTTTATAACAAGCACCACGAAACCTATGAACTTGTCTATGACAGTCAGGCCAGTTGTAGTAAACTCCCGGCTCATGGCCATTGAACACAACATAGCAGGGATGACTCATCTCAAATCTGCACAACCTAAATAGGTTGCCTCAGTTTTCATAAGTAGAATGTCAGTGAACAAGTGGTAGTGACCATCATTGGCATCAGTAGCAACATGTGCATCTTAGACATTAATTAGTGGCCTCAGCAATGTGAATGATGGACACAAAGCATTGATTTGCTTTCGATGCCTTCATCTTGTTTGGAACCAAATGGATAACTTGGTTGTCAATAAGGAGAAGACATAGAAAGCAAACATATGAGGTGCATCCTAATACATCCAACAACCATGAAGACATCATTGGCATAGAAATGTAGCCTCAGATATGTTACAAGTTCAAAATACCATAAGGACTCACTGGTGGCACTTGAGCATACAAAACAGAAATATAGAATCAAGCAAGCACTGGACAGAAAAAAATAGTTTAAGGTAGAAGCGAAGGGCCTATTTGTTTGCCTAGACAGATCTGTAAGGGACACGCGTCGGCAGAAAACCAACCAGTGCCACCTTCTAGTTCTTTTCATCATCATATCATTGGCCTAACTAGATCACCAATGCTAGAATGTTTCTTGTATACCTCATGTTCAAGTAAGGACCAAAATAGTGAAACGAACAGAAAAAGGCGAGAAAGGAGACCTACGGATCGGATCTGTCGCCTCTGCCGCGGCACACGATGGACACGGACGCCAATGCCGCCACGCTCCACCAGGAAGACCCATCGCCTAGCCTCCAAAAGGAAGCCTGAGCCACCATAGCACACTAGGGATCCTCCATTGCCACCGCCACTGCAGCCATCACAAGTCCAACGGGCACAGATTTGTTTCCACTTGCAGGGGATAGGGATATATCCAATATATAAGTCAACCTGTCCACACAGAGAACATATACTACTCCAAAGACATGTCAACATAACCAGTCGTCTAGCGCAATGGTCAAGACGGTCTATTCCTTGCTCTGGGTCCTAGGTTTGACTCCTAGGTCTCATGGTTTTTTTGAGTTTGAATTTATTAAACCCCAGCGGCAACAAGTGACACGCAAGCCGTAGGGTCCCAGAGGTTGGATGGAGATGGAGAAAGGTCCCACGGGTACATGTGACACATAAGTCGTTAGGTTCCAAAGGTCGGATGGTCCCATAGGTACACGTGACACGTAAATCGTCGGGTCCCATAGGTCGGATGGAGATGGTGAAAGGTGCCATCGAGTCCCACAAGTCGGATGGAGAAGGGTCCACAAGCACAAGTGACACGCAAGCCATCGGGTCCCACAGGTCGGATGGAAATGGAGAAAGGCTCCATAGGTTTGGGTCCCATAGGTCGGATGGAGAAGGGTCCCACAGGTACACGTCGCATGGAGAAAGGATCGAGCGGAGACTTTTATGATGAATTGCAAGCGTCACGGATGAGTAACTGCAGGTCCCATAGGTACACGTCGGATGGAGAAGGTACTGCATGGAGATCTATGACGAAGTGCCATCGTTACAGATCGAATATTGTTTGTCACATATTAGTAATTAATAAAATGATGAAACCTGTTCGTCACAGTTATGAATAAGATCGTCATAGACGAGTAGGAACAGTCACGCGAGTGATATGTGACGAAATCATGTGCTCTTCTATGACCTTTTTTCACGATACCCGAATTCATCATAAATAAGGGGGGGATCGAGGCTCATCACGGTGATCAATGACGAAACCAAAATTTTCATCATAAAAAGCGATTTTTATGACGATTTTGGATTCGCCATTAAAATTTTTGTCATATAAGTGGATATTCCTAGTAGTATTAGTGCCACTAAAATGAGTAAAGAACATTGGGTGTTTTTTCCCTGAAGTCATGGTATTCTAGAGATGCAACTAAAAAATTGCATACGACAACATCACAAAATAAATCATAATGCTTGTAAATATATGTACATTATTCACTAGCATGTACATTCATATATTTTTTGTGAGATCTAGTTACATATACGAGCACACACTCACCTCTATGAACGCACGCACGCATACCCTACCCCTATGAGCATATCCGAAGAACTGAGTTGGACAAGCAAATCTCGAGATCGACAAATTCACCACTGAAAGAATAGCGTTGTTAGATCCTGGAATAAATCTAGGAAAATACGAGCACCCATGTCAAGTCGGGGACTTGAACCCCAGTGGCCAGGTTCCACCACAAGAAACCCAACCAGCTGAGCTACGCTCAGACTTAGATCAACCTTGTGGTTCCTTGTTCCATTGCTGATTCTCTTCGTGTCTCATTTGACATTTGAATTCCCTCAGCAATAGGTGAATTGTCACCAACACTTGTTGTTGGCATTCTATTACGCCTCCTAGCATTTTCTGCCCAATTGGTAAGGCCTTGGGAGATATTATCATCGAAGATCGCCTTCTTGAAAGAACTTCCCATCTTCATTAGTGCAAAACATTGAACATTAGCATCAAACTAGACTCAGAGTATGATTGTAGTATTATACTAATAGTTGAACCAAACAAATTAAAATGGAATATATTACCATATTGATGTGCACTTTATAATAATCATTTTGCTTTTTTTTACTTAACTAATTTATGTATTGTTTAAATTGGCTAGTCCATAAGTTAAAATAAATTACCAAAAGGTGCCTAAACAAAATGAGTTCAATATGAAGCTAGTTTAGCCAACTTACTTGAGAGATGAGAGCATAGAGAGGTAGGGTGCTGTATCCACATAGGAGTTGGCTGATGACACTGAAAATGCATACGTAACATGAATGCCTGCTTCCTCGAAAGTTTAAAATGGCATAATTGACAAATATTGTTGGTTACCTTAGCACCACACGAGTAATAACATATACCGGTTTTCCCAAAATGCAGGAATTAAACCCATATGTTACCTGCAAGGTTTGGTGAGTGTTAAGTCGAGCTTGTTTTATACATATTATCGAAAATAAACATAGAATATCCTAAACTAAATGAAACATGTAGCAGTTTGGTATTATGTTCTATATGTTTGGGTATCGATTTGATTTTATCATGACGACATATTTTTTATCTAATAACAGTCCATGATGTAACTATGAATTGTTTCAAAAAAAACAGTAGACATTTGTAGGGTGAAAAAAAAGGAAAATGGCTTATTGTTCTTACCCACAACCAAAAGAACAATGCAATTTCAAATGCATTTTGGAACAAGATGATATGAATCAAGAGAAGGACTAGTTTAGGACGGTGGAACCAAAAGAGTTCATCTGAAGGAGTTACAACTAGAACCCCTTGTATTGCCGTATGCTTTTGGGTAACCTCAAGAGCCAACTCCGTGATAATATGCTCCATCTTACTTCCGAGCACAAGTAGCAACTGTATGGAATAAAACACAACCAATATATATGTTATGATTTATTAGTGACATGGAACTTTATACAGTAGATATATTTGTTGTGAAACAATTTTACTACAAAAATGCAATAATATGTATTATTTATATTTCTATAGGTCCAACAAATAAAAACAGTAGGTGCAAATGCTTTTAAATTTCTATCTTTATGACACACGAGTTGTTTACTTACAATGAATGGGACTACTGTTATCCAAATGTAGACGTACCATCCTATGATGACAACAATAAAAGAGTAGTGTGTTAGTCTTTCACGTAAGACATTTCATTTAATATAAAAGTTAAATGAGATGTACGTGATGCAGCCATATAGGTATGACAACAATCCACCACCAGTATCATAACTTATTTATGCATAAGTGTAAAAATGTTAAGCAATACTCATTGAGCTTAATTAGAAACATACCATGAACATTAAGTAGCAAGAATATCATTAGCATAGCCCAAAGGTACCAGCTGTGACAAAAACACATATACATTTATTCATCAATTATGATGTTTTTTATTATTAAGAGACTATGTGAACAATATGGATATCAACATAGTGGCTTCAGTTGTTTACCTTATGCCAACGACTTTCTTGAAATCCACTTCCAATGCTCTATTCATATAATTATAAAAGTTGAATTTTGGATGTCCCCTGCAGTGTTTCTACCAAAAACGGACAAGAAAAACGTAAACTCTTCTATATTTACAAAATGAATAAATTAGGAAATCTGTATGAAGTTGTATATATGTCAGGCTACCATGATGAAGCCAAGTCGCAGGGTTGTGTAGTCCTCCTCAGTGACTGACCCATAGAATTGTTTGAAAAAAGAGCGCTGGAGTAAAGTGTAAACAATATTATTTTGTATGAACTGATGCTAACAACATAAATTACGCACTAACTTTTTGAAAAATACATGGGAAGCAGGTAAGATATATACCAGCCAGCCGAATATTTCCCATCGTTTTCCATGACCTCTGAAGTGACTTTTAATAAATTTGAATTCTTGCACATGCTTGATCATTTGAGGAGCTACAAAATTTGGCCCCGACAACACATTATAAACAAACAGTTTATATATAAATTAATATAATAAAAAATGTAGCGAACTTGCTAAACTAGGCAGTATATATATGTGTATACCACTATCATCGTTTTGCTGGATCTTCTCCTCCCAATATTTCCAATTTCTTGTCTAAAGAGAGAATGAACAAAATATTTAGAAAAAGAATATTGTGATAGTACATTTTGAACACAAAGCTTCACATTTTCCATACCTGTGTGATTCCAAGAATAATTGTAACAGCACTGAGAACCACATGCGTGACTGCCAAGACGAAGATAAATATGTGCAACTCATGAATGGCAGTTGTCGAAAGAATTGGAACTTTGCCCTGTAGAATATGATAGAATACAAGCATGTTATGAAAGGTGAAGGGCAACCATAAGTAAAATGACAGTATATTATATCGTTTGTAAGCAACATTTGGAAAACTGCTTTTCCTAAAAAAAAAGAACATTTGGAAAATTGCATTATTATAAACTTACTTTTCGATATAAATAAATGTATATTATATCGTTTGTAAGAAGCATTCAGAAAACTACTTTTCCTAATTAAAAAAAGAACATTCAGAAAATTGCATTATTATAAACTTACTTTTCGAGATAAATAAATGTATTGATATTATCATTTCAAAATGTCTAAATACTAAACTCGCCATTAAAAATAAGTGGATGATGACTGTAAAGTTCACATAACTGAATTTATTAATTTTTTTGACATCACGATCCAATTGATTATTTTATTGATGAAGGGAGTACCAAACCAATTTTAAATTAAAACATGCATGGTCAACAACAAGAAGGTGAGACGGAAGCTGGTGAGCCGGTAAACGCCGGTAGTAGTAGATTTGATCGCTTCCAGATTCCAGTAAACGCCGGTACGGTGCCGGCCGTGGACTTCCCTTCCCTTCCGTTCCGTCTGGGCCGGGGGTCCGGCAAACCCAATAATGCAAAGCAAATACGCTACGGCAGCGCTACGCAGTACGCACACGCACCTTGTTGAGGCAGTAGTCACTGGAGGCGCCTCCTCCCGCCAGGAGCCTCCTCGTGCCGCCGGCGAGCACGAAGTGCGCGGTGGTCTTGGCGGCGGCGGCGGGGAGCGAGCAGGGCAAGAGGTGGTGCATCACGCTCTCCCGGACGCATATCTTCTGCGTGGCGCCCTGGAACACGTTGAGCAGCAGGGAGATGAACCCCAGCAGCATCAGCTCTGCGTTCGTTTCGTATGGCCATCAGCACAAGAAGCAAGTCGGCGTTAGGCACGATGACCGGTCAGCAACTCAGCACAAGCAGAGAAACACAAGCATGCATGAACATGATGATGCTGGTAGCCTGGTAGTAGATGTGGAACAAACCTTCTTTGACCTTGAGGAGGGCATCATACAGTGGCTTCCGGCGGCCTTTTGTTAGCCTCTGCATATATGATCATGCAAGAAGAAGAGTTCATATACACATGCATAAAGCTCAATCAGACAGATGAGTAGATCGGACGACGATCCATGCATGTGACCGGCGGTGGACGGACGTACCTTGCCGAGGCGGTGGAGCAGTCGCTCGAAGAGCAGGGAGATGACGACGATGATGGAGCATACGGAGGCGACGATCCACGTGGGCGTGTGCTCCAGCGTTATCTCCTCCGCGCCGTCGGCTTTGGCGCCGCCGCCGGCCATGGCCGCCGAAGCCCAACCAGCTCCGCAGCAGGCAGGTCCTTGGCGGATTTCGATCACACCTGTGCCACCGTACCTGCGGTGCTGCTTAAACTTATTCCGTCCCCTTAATTATTTACGCCTAATCTTGGGCAGTAATGTCAAACGGGCGGGCCAGACTGGTATTCGTCACGCACAGAAGTGGCGCGCATGAATATGAATGAATGAATGGGCTGCCTCTTCTTATATATTGGCCAGTCTCAAGTTTGACGTACTACTAATAGTCCAAGAAAGAAACAACAGAATGAAATATCTTGAGACCTTCCTGTATTTTACTGGGCAATAATGCATGCGCATGCATATATGAACAAAATTGCTGCCACCAACCGTTTAGAACGTGTATTTTGTCTTGTTATTAATCGACGAAGACTGAGTTAGTGAGGGCATGTATAATCCACAGACAGGGTGCTATTTGTACGATGATGTCACATAACAAACAGACGGCTAAATGGATAGCTTGTACAATGGGTTGTTTGTTTGGCTATCTATTGTTTATCTAATGCTTGCATGTAGTTAAGATCGAGTGTGAATATTATTGGTGTAAACCATTGTGATGCTTATCGATACAAAATAGATCAAACGAAAATAATAAGATGATCATGGTTATAACATTTTTTTGGAAGCATCAATATATATAGTATATTTATATATTATAATATAATATGATGGATTCTTTTTGAACCTATTTAAGGTCTTCGTATATTATTTTATTTTTTATACAAATGAGATGTTCAGTGACAGAGTTGTATTCATTCATAAACAATACAGTGCATATACAACATGCCTCGCACACTCCATCCAACCACGGAGTCGCTCGCTACCATCGGCTGGTACAGCGCTAGACGAAGCCGTCGATTTGCCTGGGAGGAGCATGAGACGGGGTCGTCGTCTCGTGAGACGACGGACACGCTCTCTCTCCACATTGAATACGTCGTGTGGAGGGTGTATCTAAAAAACAGCGTTATACAGATAGCCTTCCGCAGCGCGTTGTACGTGCCCTTATATTCTCCCGTTCAAGTCAACGGTGAGCTAGCAGATCGAACCTGCTCCACATATATACCCCCTAGCAGTGTCTAGCTTACGATTTTCATTATTCTGTCCTTTTTTGTTGCTAGCCTCCAATGCAATGTCCGTCCGCATGCACACAGAAGCGTCAAGAGACCGGCGTGCTGTTCCCGTTGGAGACGGGCTAACCTCGCTAGCCCTAGCCCCTGCGTGCTGATAATATGACGCGGCGATGGATAAAAAACATGGACGGACCAATTAAGCGACAATTAACCCCGTGTGGAATTGAAATATGAACAGATAAGAGATGGTTCAGATCGAGTACGAGTAGTGCTTGGGTTTCCGTTTCTCTCCGTGTTGATCAATCAGGCGATCAGCCTCTCTCGTACGTCTGGACTCTTCCCACAGGCAGACCAAGGAACACAGGACCTCTGTTCGATCAAACTTGAAAGCCGGGTCGCTGTCGTGCAGGTGCTTCTGGTGAAGAGCATGTCTGTCTAACCTAACGAACGAACCCAGTTGTTAGATCTGCCTCTCAAGTCTGATACTATGTATGTGCGAGGCAACACAGTGCAACACGTCAGGGTACCTTTCTCCGGATTTGTCTAGTTAGTAGGGAAAGAAATACTAATATGAGCAAATGGATGGATAGTCGTCGACGTCGTCTTCAGCTCAAGAGATAAGACATCGATCGTCGGAACAAGTGTGGGCTCCTGTGCCATCCCAGACTTGGAAAAATTATACCACTCGATGAACTGGTCATCAAAACCACTGCAGATGCATGGCAGCTGATCGACCAGAAAGGAACAAAAGGTACAGTTTAAAAGGCAACAAGTTGGATAGCACGTCGCACAAGGTGATCGAGCCCGCTGTATCAGACGATTGAGACGAGAGATACATACATAAAAACCCCGTGCCTTGACCGTCAGCTAGCTAACTAGCTACGACGTTCCGAGACAAAACACTGCAAGTATGCAACTGCGCGCACGGGTGCAGCAGGGCTTTTTTTTTCCGGTTGGGAAACCCCTTTAGTCCCGGTTTTTCAACCGAGAGCACCAATCCAGGACTAAAGGTACCCTCCTTTAGTCTCGGCTTGACGCCCGGGACTAAAGGGGCTGGTTGGAAACACCAACCGGAAGTAAAGGGGGTCTTCAGGCCTGGCCGGGGACCGTCATGTTACCAACCGGGACTAAATGTCCCTTTTTTTTTCTTTTTTCTAGTTTCTATTTTTGGTTTTTTTTCATTTAATGATTAGTTTTGATATTAAAATACATTTTTGAATACACTGCTAATAGTAATATATATGTGTACTTCGCACGCGTAAGTTTTCGTTCGAACTTTGTACATAAATAACAAACGAATATACGTGTACATGCATATATATATGATGATCATATCTATACACACGTTATTTTATGTACATATAATATGCATATATATATATATATATATATATATATATATATATTACAAAGGTTTGATATATAAATTGTTTATGTCCTTAGCAATTCACTCCTCCAGATTTGACATCCACGTTTCGTTCGGGTCATTGTAGAACTCGCCGTTGGGGTTGATGACCTGGTCATTTAGAAATCCTGCTATAGTCTCTCGAATTGCTTTAAGTCGGTCAAGTTGTATGACTCTTTCCCTCAACCATTCAGTCTTCAATAAAAGTTAAAGGAAAAAGTATTAATATATATATATGTGTGTGTATTGCTCATGTAATTACTTATACAAATGAGAGCAATAAAGAAATTGTAAATATACGATCGAAATAATATAAAGGAAAAAGTATTTATATACGTACTTTGAGTTGCTCTTCAGGAGTTCTCTTTGAGTACGCCATGATGAACTCGCAAACATAGTATCCACAGTAGTTGTTATCCTACTCCTGCCTTAGAACCCACTTTTACGACAAAAAAATCAATTAGGGTGAATTGAAATCATCATATGGTGTTAATTGAATATAAATGTGTAGTTATAGTACTTATTTTGTGTGCGATTACACCCAGTGGCTCTTTGCAATGTTTTATTTTTTGTTTCTCAATGAACCTTTTCCAAACCATGCTCCCAATAAAATAAAAAAAATAATTTAACCTTTAACAATGGTTGAGAGATCGGCGCCATTATATATATATATATATATGTTGTTATAGAGAAACTAAATTAATTACCCTTGTATAATATCTATCATGTCTTGATACTCCGTTTGCGGTTTTCTCAACGAGTCTAAGATTTTCAATCTACTATTGGCCATATCGATGACCATCAATATCCAGTGATTGCTGCATATATATATGTGTGTGTGTGTGTGAGAGAGAGAGAGAGGTAACTAGCTAGTAAAGAAATATTGATGCCCCATATATATGATCGACATTAATTACTTATAATAACACACACTTGAAGTTGTAGGGGAAGAGTATCTCCTTCTTGTCGCGTTGGTTCACTAAGAAATTCATGAGATTTCTCTCAGGTTGAGACTTATAATCCTTCGGGGGGTTAGGGTGTTTGTATACGACATACGGATCAATGAACCCAACATCATTATCCTTTCTCTTTCTAAGTTTTGTCATCTCATATCTGCATACATGAAAATTGTGAATATATATATTATGAATATATAATAAAGAAATTATGAATATAGTAGAAAATAATCACACTTACAGACAATAGCAGCTAATGAGACTTTTGTCGAGAGAGTCCAGGTGGCATAGTTGGTGTAATTCTGGAAGGTCGACATAGATAATGTCATTGCCACGAAAGTAATGGTGGTTTCTAATTCTGACAGAAAGATAGATTTGTCCCGTATCAGACGCCGACATGTACCACCCGTTTAGCAGGTACATTTGTGTACCCAGTTCACCTAATTTCTCTGGGTTGTATAGACTCTGGCCTGGTACAAATTTCTTGTAAGGATCCACTTCCGGAGCAGATGGTCCTTCAGCGAGCACTTTGGCAAGGTTCAAACCAGTGTCCTCATAAAACTGAAGAAACGACTCATAGCCGCCTACCTCCTCCACTAAGTTTAAGTTTGAACCATATTCGTTAGGAATGACAAGGGGGGGATTGATTGTTGCGATTGTTGTCCGAGTTGTGTAACACATTTCCTACTCTCTTCTTTTTTTTGCGCCGCCTCATATGACTTGGTGAGAGAGCGGTCATAGTCCGATATCGGTTGTTTCGCGGCGCTCTTAAGAGAATCCCATTTTTTTGTTCTAACTTCTTTCTTAGCTGATCTGGAGGTAGGAAGAAGTATGATGGCTCCGGGTTCTCCCTCGCTCGTCGTGCCTGTTTTGCACCTTCAAAGAAATCATCACTTCTTTTTGTCTCTTGCATCCTTTAATTCTGTTCACTTTTCTCATAAGATAGTTTTTGGGAATAACTAGATGAGTATTTGCTTTTCGCTTCTTCTTGTGGCGAGCAACAGCAACCGTTGCTTGGGGGAACCTCTTAGGGGCTGGCTTCCTTGGAGGCGGGGGAGGCGCTGGAGACCGCCTTGGAGGCGGCGGAGGCGTTGGAGACCTCGGCGGAGGAGTTGTGGACTTCCTTGGAGGCGGCGGAGGAGTTGGAGATGGTGGGGATGCAGCAGTGCATTCGAAGGCGTCATCATTACCCTGAGCACTATGATGGTCGGGAGAAGCAACAACTGGACTTTGGTTGGCGGAGGCCCTGCTTTGTGAGTACAAAAAATAATGAGATATAAGTAAATGCTTATTATTAGTCATACCCATAGAAAATTTTAAAAAAAATGTTTTGTTAACTTTTGTCCGCACCTAATGTCTGCTGCCGGTGGAGCAGACGCCCTAGGGATAATGATGTAGCGCTTGCGCCATAGTATATATGTCTTCTCTGCTTCTCCTAGAGTCTTCTCTTCATCACCTTCAGGAATGTCAAGAGCTAGATCCTCATAACCTTTGCTCACTTTATCCACTACGACCCTAGCATATCCAAGTTGTATT